CACAACTTTTGTCACATCATTTTTAATTATCTATGTCCTTGTCATTTGTCCACCAGGACTGAAATCACCTTTAGGGTAATCATGATATTCACATTATTCGTATTGCATCAGTCATACCCAGGAGAGTACCAGGCATAATGCAGACAAGTCACCCCTGTCTCCCTTCCTCCTCTGCTTCTCATTCCCACAGTGCTAGGGGCCCTTGCTCTTCTCCTCCTCCACCCCTCCCTCTGCACAGCTACCATCACCATGAGACCCACAGACCATGCTCCTCTACTCCCTCTGACCCCATACACTCTCCAGTTCCAGTGGATCCTAACAGGATGACATATCAAGTGTGGAGGTTTAGTTGTACTCATGGAAAAAAGCTACAGCGCTCCACTATCACTAAGTGAATTGTGGATGTTGGCCTTGAAAGCTCTGATTCTTGTGCTCAGTTCTATGGTCCTATGACAACTGAGAGCATGGCAGAAATTAAGGAGATGCCTGCCTGCATATCCCATTCAGTTAGGGGCCACAGAGCTCTGCAGCATTGTTGTTGGAGCCCTTTCCATTTATTCACTGCTCAAACCTATTGCTTTCTTTTCTGCTTTGTGTCCATCCACTCATATCAGAGTAGCCAGGACAGTGAGTTTTTATGAGTCATGATGGTGAGCCAGTGGCTAGACACCTTACTTGGACTTTATAATGTGCATTTTGGCTATTCCAGGAAATTTTTTTTAAAGATTTATTTATTTATTTGAAATAGTTACACAGAGAGAGAAGGAGAGGAAGAAAGAGAGGGAAAGGTCCTCCATCCGTTGGTTCATTCCCAATTGGCTGCAATGGTCGGAGCTGTGTCAATCTGAAGCCAGGAGCCAGGAGCCTTTTCCAGGTTTCCCACATGTGTTCAGGGGCCCAAGGCCTTGGGCCATCTTCTACTGCTTTCCCAGGCCATAGCAGAGAGCTGGATCAGAAGTGGAGCAGCCAGGACTTGAACCGATGCCCATATGGGATGCCACACTGCAGGTGGCAGCTTTACCCCCAATGCCATAGTGCTGGCCTCTCCCCAAGGAATTTTTTTTTACTTCATTCCTGCTTAATTGTGCTTTAGTTACCTAAGGTTGATGAATCTATAAATTGTGAATTAGGGAGGTATTCCAAATTCAGCTTTGAAATATATGATTTTGTGGGTTTTTTAACTTAACTTTTTTTTATAATTTTTTTTTTTTTGACAGGCAGAGTGGGCAGTGAGAGAGAGAGATAGAGAGAAAGGTCTTCCTTTTGCCATTGGTTAAACCCTCCAATGGCTGCCGTGGCTGGCGTGCTGCGGCCGGTGCACTGCGCTGATCCGAAGGCAGGAGCCAGGTGCTTCTCCTGGTCTCCCATGGGGTGCAGGGCCCAAGGACTTGGGCCATCCTCCACTGCACTCCCTGGCCACAGCAGAGAGCTGGCCTGGAAGAGGGGCAACCGGGACAGAATCCGGTGCCCAGACCGGGACTAGAATCCGGTTTGCCGGTGCTGCAAGTTGGAGGATTAGCCTATTGAGCCACGGCGCTGACCTTTTTATAAATATTGACCATTACTACTCTTTTTTTAAAAAATATTTATTTGCTTATTTATTTCAAAATCAGAGTTACACAGAGAGAGGGGAGACAGAGAGAGAGAGAGAGAGAGAGAGAGATGTCTTCTATCTGATGGTTCACTCTCCAATTGGCCACAATGGCCAGAAGTGTGCTGATTCAAAGCCAGCAGCCAGGAGCTTCCTCCAGGTCTCCCATGTGGGTGCAGGGGACCAAGTATCCTCTACTGCTTTCCCAGGCCATAGCAGAGAGCTGGATTGAAAGTCGAGCAGCCAGGTCTTGAACAGGGGCCCATATGTGATGCCGGCACTTCAGGCTAGGGTGTTAACCTGCTGTGCCACAGCGCCAGCCCCTGAATTTTACTTTTTTATTTAGACCTTTCTTATAGAAATGGATTATGTCTTCTAGTTTCTAAGTAACTGCATCATAATGAGGACCATTGTAGATTGTAGCAGTTAAAAATATTTAGCTTGATGATCAACATAAGGCTTATAGATAGTAGCTACCCATGAGATTGTGTGCTGGATTTAGGGGAAGTTTATAAGTCAGTTGGAGGTAGCCTTTTATTACTGATGAACATGAATGTACTGAGAACTCCTTGTCCATTAAATAATAAAATCCAAATGAAGATTTACACATGAGTTCCCTTCTGCCTTCATCTACCATTGAAATCCTGTTGTTTCTGCCTTTTAGATCTCCCTGTAATCTGTTGCCTCTTCTTCATTCCCACTACCACCATACCTTGGTTCAAGTCCTACTAAATTACCTTTGATATACTTTTTAATTGACCTCTCTGCTTTTTGTTTTTCTTACCTTTGTGTAAAGCCTCTTAGTTCATCCAAACATTTTTCTGATTGCTCAGGTTCTCTTACTCCAATAACTAGGAAAATCATGTGGCTGGTAGTTCTTTCAACACACCACACAAAAGAATGCTCAGTAAATGCTTGTTAAATAATGAATGGAATGCCTTACAAAGCTAGGGTGAACATTTAACCTGCTTGGCCCTGGATGGTTTCTGTTTATACATTTCAACCCTGTGTCATTATTAATATGTCTCTTTTATTAGCAATGTTGTCTCTGAGCAACAAATTATACATTCATCTATTTGTGTGTGTTATCAAATAGATATCTATTTCATTGTCTCTTCAACTAGGTAGTTATTGGGGATCAGAAATTGTATTTGTTTAATTTTTATAGCCTCATTTATTCATTCAAATAAAAGATGCTGAGTTTCAATGTCAAAGCAAACATGTTTCTTGCCCTCCTGAATTTTCAATCTGGCAAGAAAAAGCAGTCTACACAAAGAATATCACCTGACATAATAAACATTAGTGTGAAATGAATGGATACATTTAAGCATTCCTAATCCAGCAATTCTAATCCCATGAATTATAATTGACAGAAGTAATCACAAACAGAACTCCATGTCATCCTGCTTCCATTTACATTTCTACTTAAAATCTTAAAAATTAAACACCACACATATATACCTAAGAATGCATAATATTTATATGCTATCTTGATATTAAACATGAGAAAAATAACCATACAGCAATAGCAATTTTGAACCTCCTTTCTTTTTGAGATAATTTATAATCCTATGTGTTTCTCTACAGTGAAGATTAGGATCGTAGTGTCGCTCCCCCTCTTCGTGGAGGAGCAACACTGAGCCCTGCCTAGGCTTCATATCCGAGTCACGGCACCATTATGTCGCTCCCCCTCTTCGTGGAGGAACGACACAGGACCCTGCGCTGTTCTTTCGTCTGCTCGGCCCTCCCCGGGTTTGCCGCCGGTTCTTCCCGGGTTGGCTACTATCCCTTCCACCTCCGTGGAAGGGCAGTTCCCCCTGGCCACATTCCCCACTTCCGCAGGGGAGCGGCACACCGCCGGCCGGCTTTCTCGGGGGCTGCACAGGTGTCCCTTCAGCTAGATGTTCCCCATAGATGTTCCTGGTGCATGCCGTCTCTCTCCTCCTTTATAGTCCTCCTCCGCCAATCCCAACTCGGCTGCCCACACGCCGAGTACGCTGCTCTCCAATCAGGAGCAAGTCCTACAATTTATTGGTTGAACTGGAGGCAGCTGTGCGGAAGCTGTTTACTTCTCTCCCAACGCCATATTGTGGGAGAGCAGATGCATAGAATAAGTCTTAATTCCAGTAACTCAGTCTAGTCCGGTTTGCTCCCCACATCGTAGATACTCTTCCTCCCCCTCACTTTTTATTTTAGAGATGAGAAATCTGGGGTTTTAGAAACTGAGCTCCAAGATAAAAGAAATATTTCTTTTTTTTAAAGAAGATTTTTTTTTATTTGAAAGGCAGAGTTACAGAGAGGCACAGGCAGAGAGAGAGAAAGAGAGAGAGAGAGAAGTTTTCCATGCACTGGTTCACTCCCCAAATGGCTGCAATATCCATAGTTAAGCTGATCCAAAGCCAGGAGGCAGGAAATTCTGGGTCTCTGATGTGGATGCAGGGTCCCAGGCATTTGGGCCATCTAATGCTGCTTTCCCAGGCTACAGCAGAAAGCTGTATTGGAAGTGGAGCAGCAGGGACTTGAAGTAGCCCCCCATATAGAATGTCGGTGCTGAAGGCGGAGACTTAGCCCACTATGCCACAGTGCTGGTCCTAAAAGACTTCTTAAACCAATATTTGATGTTGGTTGGCCTTTAACCTAGACTTTTTTTTACCATACTTCCATGGGCAAATTCAATTCTAATCTCTTTCCACCTCAGCTTTCTCTTTGTAAATTGAGAATTCTGTCTCCAGAATTAACCTAAGGTATAATTGATACAAAGTAAGGCATTTACTCTGTTAATCTGGCCCCTAGAAGATACTTGAAAATGTTAGTCCTGTATCCAGTATCCAGTTCTCTCTTTTTTTTTTTTTTTTGTACTTGGTGAATTACAGGGTGGTGTAAAATGCTTTGAAAGGAACCACAAATAAAAGACACAAGTAAAAATCGTATTCTCAAATCTAGATGTTAAACTATGCTGTGTACACCTGTGCTGAGAGTTACATTGAAATCCTTGTCATTCGTTACTTGAGAGAAGCTGTCCAGGAATAAAGCAGCAGGGGATTTTCCTGAGGGAAACAGCGTGTGTGAGGGAACCGGGATTTGGGACTCAGCAGCAGTGGCTGTCACTTCTTAAGATTTTGTTCAAGAAAGGAAGAACAGCAGCTGATCCTTGAGATCTGGGGTGGGAAGGAAGGGAAGGAGGGATGTAAACAAAAGCAAATGCTCTCTGGTTCCCAGCCTGTCTCCACCCACCCCGCACTGAAGCCCTAGGAGAGGGCCAGTAAGTCTATCTAGGAATGCCCTGGCCTGGACTCCATTTCCCAGAGTCACCAGGTGCTCTAACTTTCCTGCTCTGAATGCCTGTGCGTGTGCATGTGGGAGAACGTGCGCATGCGCGTGCCTTTCCCTGTGGCTCGGGGCTGGGAACAGAAGTTCATTTACTGATCAGAGAGGTCCCTGAGAGGCTGCGCTGCTCCTTCTCCCACATTCACTGGGGAGACTTGCTTTGCAAGTGCAATTGCAGGTGGTTTGGGAGCACACACCCCAGACCTGCCGCCCACTGCTTCTGTGCCTCTGCATCTGCCACCGTGGGCCCCAAGTTCCAGCGACTTCTGTCCCACACTCTCCGCTTTGCTCCCCGTGTGTCCTGAAGAAAGGGGATGTGCTCTCGAGATTTTCCACAGCAAGTATGGAGAACAGGAGGGGCATCTATGCGTGTGTGGGAGAGGGGAGGGTGCGATGGTGGGTGGCAGCTCCCAGACCTCGATCACTTGCTTCTCAGTGATGCTGGGAGCTTCTCTGGCAGAGTCAAGTCTGGGGCCCAGGTGTTGTGTCTCCCACTGCCGCTTCCCAGTCTCCCGATGCACGGCCGGTCCCATGGGCTGCCTCTCTCAAATTCTCCTTAAAGTACACTGGATGAGGAGCGGCACAAGCAGGGCAGTTGAGAGCACACCGAAGGAAGGAGTCCCATTCCCTATATTTAAATAAGCCCAGTTCCCACTTTGGGTGGGTCAGAGAATGCCTTGTGGCTGGGCCTCTGGCTATATCCCCTGGTAGTTCCAGCTGGGCGGGGCTTGGTGGCCCTCAGCCAGAGCCTGAGGCAGTGGAGAAGTGGAGATGGAAGATCAGAGTAGGCTCTGGCTCCTGGCCCCCATGCTGGACCCCGCGGACACATCTGACAGCTGGGGCGCTATGTGTTTGGCTGACTTTCCCAGCAGCACGTGAAGCTTGTGCAGTAGCTTTGTGGATTGATCACTCCTCCGTGTTTAATTAACAGACTTTTTCAATCTGGAGCTTGAGGCCATGGAAACGTAGCTGATTTATTTTCCTGCTTTTTGATTTCTGTCTTCAACCCTTCTTTCTTCTCATGTTATTAGGGATGCGAACTTTTATTACCTGCTGCTAATCCCTTTACAAAGTGAGAAGTGAACTGAAATTAATGCAAGTCTACCATGTGAGTTAATAAAGAGCTACTTCAATCTGGATTTTCATAGTGGAGAGCTATGAAAACATAAATACAGAAAAGTATCAATTTTTCTTGTCTAGTTCTTTACAGTCACTCAATGCTCCACCAAGCTGATTATCTTACAGTCCATACGGTTTTAATTAAGGGGGCCAGTTACTTTTTTTTTTAAATTTGACACGCAGAGTTAGAGAGGAAGGTCTTCCTTCTGGTGGTTCATCCCCCAAATGGCCACTATGGCTGGTGCACTGTGCTGATCCGAAGCCGGGAGTCAGGTGCTTCCTCCTGGTCTCCCACGTAGGTGCAGGGGCCCAAGCACTTGGGCCACAGTAGAGAACTGGACTGGAAGAAGAGCAAATGGGACAGAATCCGGTGTGCATATGGGACGCCAGCACTGCAGGCAGAGGATTAACCAAGTGAGCCACGGCGCTGGCCAGTTACTTAAAAAAAAAAAAACTATTTATTTATTTTAAAGGCAGAGTTACAGAGAGGCAAAGACACATAGAGAGAGAGAGAGAGAGAGAGAGAGAGCACGAGCTCCCATCTGCTGGCTTACTCCCCAGATGGTCACAATGGCCAGAACTGCATGGATCTGAAGCTAGAAGCCAGGACCTTCTTCCAGGTCTCTCACACAGGTACAGGGGACCAAGCACTTGGGCCATCTTCCACTGCTTTCCCAGGCCATAGTAGAGAGCTGGATCAGAAGTGGAGCAGCCAGGTCTTGAACCAGCACCCATACGGTTTTACCCGCTCAGCCACAACACCAGCTTCAAGTTACTTTTCTTATTCTGGGTTCTGTGTTTAACTCCATGACATTTTCAACATGGGAGGATATTAGTGATAGATTTTCAAAATGACTGGTCTGTGGAAGCCTTTGTACAAGGTGTTAATGTGAAGACAGGTAAGGAAGAAAAGAGAAAATGTGCCCCTCTCCCCCACAGAGATGCCCACACAGTACGGTAAAAGATGTGGCTTTGGGCTGGCACTGTGGCTCAGTAGGTTAATCCTCTGCCTGTGGTGCCAGCATCCCATATGGGCACCAGTTTGAGTCACAGCTGCTCCTCTGATCCAGCTCTCTGCTATGGCCTGGGAAGGCAGTAGAAGATGGCCCAAGTGCTTGGGCCTCTGCACCCATGTGAGAGACCCAGAAGAAGCTCCTGGCTCCTGCCTTTAGATCAGTGCAGCTTTTCTGGCCATTTTGACCAACTGGGGAGTGAACCAGCAGAAGGAAGACCTTTCTGTCTGTCTATCCATCTCACTATCTGTAATTCTACCTCTCAAATAAATAAATAAAACATCTTTTAAAAAAAGAGAGATGTGGCCCTGAAAACTATTGCTATAGACTAACTTTCAGTGTAATGAAGTTTTCACTTGATTAACTGAGTGATTTAAAGGTTCTGTTTGAGTCCTGTTGTCACCAGATTACTAATCTGTGAAACTTACGTAGCATAGTAAGGTTACCTAGGAAGTAAGAATAGAAAGGGAATCCTGGATAGAGGTTGCTAGGGTGACAGCATTCTTCCTCTCAAACCCAGTGTGTTTTTGACCTTTTCTCCCATGTATTCCCTATCACAGTGCTTGTGAGTGGACAAGCAGTTATGTGTTTCTGCTGAAAAGAGCTGCTTCACACCCAGGAAACAACTGTAAGACACATTCTCAGCAACTATGTTGTGTGTACATTAATACAAACTTGAAAACAGCCAAGAACAGGATTCCTGGACTACTCAGGCTAACTCACTGTCCTTGGCACATCATTCCCTGCTCTGCAATAAGTTTCTGGCAAGTTCTTTAAAATTTTTAGGAGAGACATATTTCACATGAGAGACATAATCTGGTAATGCAGCAGTCATGTCTTTAAGAAAAGGTGCCATGTGAGGAAGCAGTCTGATGTGTCCATTCATCTTCCCATTAATAACTCTCATTGATGTCTACCACAGGGTGACAGAAGCAATCCTCCTGAATTGCATCAAGCCAGGAGGATTCCTCTACAGTTTATCTGAGCTTTCCTTGTATGAGGGAATAACCAAAATACTACATTGTATAGGGTTTTTTTTAATGCATTTTATTTACTTGAAAGGCAGATTTACAGAGAGATGGAGAGACACAGAGAGGTCTTACAGCCATTGTTTCACTCCTCAAATGGCCACAATGACTTGGGCTGGGCCAGGTGGACCCAGGAGCTAGGAGCTTCTTCTGGTTCTCACACTTGATTTCAGGGGCCCAAATACTTGGGCCATCATCCTTTGCTTTCCCAGGTGAATTAGTATGGAGCTACATTGAAAATGAAGCAGCCAGGTGTTGAACCAGTGACCATGTAGGGTGCTGGCACTGCCAGGGTCTTCTTAACCTACTACACCAGTCCCATGTGCATTTTTCAAAGAGGGAGAGGGGTTAAATTTTTTCTAATATAACTCTCAAAATAAAGATTATAATGTGCAGTAGATGATGGTTTTGGTTGTATTTTGAGTTTCATTAAATTTCTATATTTTTTAAGTTAATGAGTACTAGTAGTTATCTTACTTTTTTTAAAATATTTATTTATTTTACTTGAAAGTCAGAGTTACAGAGAGGAGAGGCAGAGAGAGAGAAGTCTTCATCTGCTGGTTCACTCCCCAATTGGCTACAGTGGTCGGAGCTGTGCCAATCCAAAGCCAGGATCCAGGAGCTTCTTCTGTGTAGTAGTTACGTTATGTTATCCTTGCTTTGGATAAACAAACTCTCTTCCATCCCTCAGTTAAAATGTTTTTTAAAATAGGTTTATTTTGAGGGCTGGCACTGTGGCATCGCAGGTGAGGCTGCCACCTGCAGTGCTGGCATCCCGTATGGGTGCTTCTTTGAGATCCAGCTTCCTGCCGTGGCCTGGGAAAGCAGTGGAAGATGGCCCAAGTTCTTGGGTTCTGCACCGCATGGGAGATCTGACAGAAGCTTCTGGCTCCTGGCTTCAGATAGATCCAGCTTTGGCCATTGCAGCCATTTGGGGAGTGAATCAGTGCATGAAAAACTTCTCTCTGTTCCCTGCCTCTCTGTAACTCTGCCTTTTAAATAAATAAATAAATTTTTACATGCGACACCACTGTGCTGGCCCCAAGACCTAACAGGTTTTCTGGGTGCTTATCCTGGGGTTCACTTTGAGTACTAAGCACAGTTATTCTGTGTGACTGCATATTTCATGTTCCTTCTTATGGAAAAGTTTTTCTCATGATCTGAGTGATTGGCTACATCTGCCTGTAGTGGAAACTAAAACTTAATTTGGCATTTGAACACCCAGAGTGCTGAGTCCTGTAATCTTCTGAATTTAATCAGAAAATGTGTTTTGAAACATTTGGTCTGTGGGTAGGCAGGGCAGTTTTCCTGGATCCCTATGAGAACTGATGAGCTGATGGTGTGTTTCTACCCCACATTATATTCTGAAATTTACTTCCTTTTATTTTCTGAAAATAACTATATTTGAAATTTGCTCCTCCCTTCTGAAATATTTGTGCTTCTGTCCTCCTTATAACCATGAACATGAGTAGCCCTTTTCCTTCTCTTTATGATACTACAAGAGCAATGAGACATTGCAGCTCTCTCCCCTGGCAGCATATCTTCCTCATTACGTCTCTTTGAATTAGACCCTTGGGTTAACTTGGCTGCACAAAAGGCATATATCTAAACCCAGTGTACCTATTGAATGAAAGTCATCATAAAGTCAATATGCCTTGTAAACCTCTCATCTCTTGTTTTGAAATGTGTTGTGAATGTGTCTTTTATGTCAGTGTCTGTAAGCTGGAGACTTCCCACTTAAGACAGAAGGCTGCTGAGGGACAGCACAACTGTAGCTTTGCTCTGTTACTTTACTGTGGCTACTCTCTCACCCTATTTTATTAAGATTTAAAAATTTTATTTTAAAGCAGAGTTACAGAGAAAGAGGCAGAGACAGAAGGATGGGGATCTTGCGTCTGCTGGTTCACTCAAGAGACTGCAATGAATAATGCTGGCCCAGCCTGGAAGTCCAACCCAGTGTCCCACATTGGTGCAAGGACCCAAGTACTTGTGCCATCTGTTTCTGCTTCCCTAGTTGCATTAGCAGGGAGCTGGATCAGAAGTGGAACAGCTGTGACTCAAACTGGCACTCACGGGGCTGGCATTGTGGCACAATGGGGAAAGCCACCATCTGCAATGCCAGCTTCCCAGATGACCAGCCGTTCATGTTCCAGTTGCTCCACTTCTAACCTAGCTCCATGC